CCAACCCTGGCCAGAAAAAAGTTATACATATATCTACATATACATCTTTTACCTGCTTCTACCCTAAGACACTTAAAACCGAGTTGACTTGTTCACATATAATTTGCTCATTATTTCCTTTTTCTATCTACTATATGCTAAGTCTACCCTCATCTCTACTAGTCCTCTCTCAATCTTCTTTCAAAACCCTCTCAAAAAAAAAAAAAAGTCTATTTGCTAGTTCTTCCTGTGGCATTCTATGAACTTACTTGGTTTGAGCCACATTTGCGGTTGTTTATAGAATGCGTGCAAATGTGTGTGTGTGTGAGAAAGAGAGAGATGTGGCTTGACAGTCGTCCCCTGGGTGAAGCACTGTGTGTTCTCCACCCCACCCTACTCCCCGGCATGTCCACGTGCTCACACCCGAAAACAGAGCTGTACAGGGTGCCTGTGATCTCTTGATGCACGGAAGCCGATTTTTTAATACTTCTTAGTCTTGTAATCCTTTGCTCCAATAAAATTTCATGGAAATGTTAACTTAAGTTTTAATAGAATTTGGAATCCTGTCGTTCTGGCCCTCTTGACTACCCTTCTGGTCTCTCTTTCATCACCGTAGCAGCCTGGAAATTTGAAAATTACTAAAATCTAAAGAAAAAAATTAGAAATGGGCCAGAGTTACTTATTCAACTGATAATTAAAGAACAATTAAAACTTAGCATCCTGGCTCGGCACCTGTAGCTCAGTGGCTAGGGCACTGGCTACATACACAAGGGCTGGAGGGTTTGAGCCCCGCCCAGCGCCTCCCAAACAGCAATGACAACTATAACAAAAACATAGCCGGGTGTTGTGTCAGGCACCTGTAGTCTCAGCTACTTGGGAGGCGGAGGCAAGAGAATTGCTTGAGCCCAAAGAGTTTGAGGTTGCTGTGAGCTATGAAGCCACAGCACTTTACTGAGGGTGACATAGTGAGACTCTGTCTCAAAAAAATAGATAAAAAAAAATAAAATAAAACTTAGCATCCTGTGACCCTCCATCTGATGTATTCTGCCGAGTCACGGTGTTTCCGAATTGATCTGAATATGCAACAGGGATTTGAGAACTGACTAGTTAATAACTAGGTGGGTGAGGTCGCCTAAGGTCCTCCACCTAAACGTGGTATTTTTTCCCCTTCATTCTCCTTCCTTCACTATTCCCCAGATGGACTTGGGCATTCCAGCAATGACCAAGTGCTGCAACCAGCTGGATGTCTGTTATGATATTTGTGGTGCCAATAAGTATCGCTGCGATGCAAAATTCCGCTGGTGTCTCCACTCAATCTGCTCTGACCTTAAGCGGAGTCTGGGCTTCGTCTCCAACGTGGCAGGTAGGTACCTTAAGGGCGTGTACTTGTGGGCAGGGAGTTTTGTTCCTGCAGCCAGAGCCCCTTGACTCAAAGAACTCATCAGAGCTCACTGCATGTTCTTTTAGAACACTGATGAATGCAAGAAATGGTGAAGGTGGGCGGTGCCTGTGGCTCAAGGAGTAGGGCGCTGGCCCCGTATACCGGAGGTGGTGGGTTCAAACCTGCCCCCAGCCAAAAAACTGCCAAAAAAAAAAAAAAAAAGAAATAGTGAAGGAAGAATCTGGGCACATTTTCACTAAAGTTCTTGCTGTCCTGCCCATGAGCTGCTGGCACCACTCCTGATGGAAAGGACCACACCAAAGCACTCCCAGAGAAATAAAAATCTAACCTTTAAGATTTGGGATAGAGTTGCCCAACTGGCTGGGGTCATCCGTTCTGTGGTTAAATAATTTTCCATAGCAGGAGTTATTCTGTATAGGACCACTTGGTTCAACTTAAGCATTTTTCTTTCTTATTTTCCATCAGAGTAAGAATTCAAAATACTTCTCTTTTTTTGTGCAAAGGTCTCTACACACTTGAGAATAATTATTTTAAACAACAACTTTGCTACCTAGTTTCTCACACTGCCTCTTTAATCTCAGTTTCCTAATTGGCCTTAGGAAAAGTTCTTAGTCTCTCAGTTTCAGAAGCCAGAACATTATATCCAGGCATTAATTAGCATTTTATATTTTTGGATGGTAAAAGTTAAGTGAAATTCACATTTATAAAAAGCTGGCTTGAGGGCACAGAGATTATCAGCCATGGGAAGAATCTTGGATCTCGTTCACAGATCGATGTCTGGAGCACGGTCCTGCAGGGAAGGTGTGAGGGCTTGACGGCATGAATAATTCACTTGGCCCCGTGCAAGGGGGTATCTCTCTATCGCTTCTACAAAGGGTGAAAACATGGCCGCTGCTAAGCTAGGGTCAGATCCGGTTACTTCCTTAGAGAATGTCCTATTGATTTTTTTTTCCTAAATATCTTTCTTATATCCAAGTTGGCCTTGGCTACTGCAAATTAACCCAGTCTCTGTGCCCCATCTGATATTTTCCCATTGAGACCAGATTTATTTTTATGGAAATTTTATATGAATCTGATCATCTCCATCCCATTTTAAGTCATTCAATGGATTCTTCCTCCTTAAGGATGAAATCTAAAACGGTTAGTATACATCCACGGCCCTTGCTGATTCGCCCCTTGGCTGGCTCTCTCCTGTCATTTTGGTAATTCCCGATTTCTCTCCAGATTCCTCCCGTTCCAGACTTCTTGGTTTAAGGGCCTACACCTTTCTGCCCCTGTGTTCCCTGAACACCCTGATCATTTACTTTGTTGTTGTTGAAACAAGCTTGTTAAGCTGTAATTCATGCACAATTCACCCATTTAAATCCTTTCTAAATATGTTCAAGCCCACAATCAACATCAGCACACTTTCATCTCCCCAAAAAAGGAACTCAATAGCCACTAACAGTCCCTCCCCACACCTCCCCCTGCCAGCTCAAGGGAACTGCTGATCTGTTTTCTGTTTCTATAGATTTGCCTATTCCAGACATTTTGTATAAATGGAATCACACAATACCTGGTCTTCTGTGGCTGACTTCTTTCACTTAGTGAGGTTTATCTATGTGGTAGAATGTGTCAGTATTTCACTACTTTTTATTGTTGAATAATATTCTATTATTATATGCTATAAAAATATTATATATACTTTTTTTTTAGATAAGAGACTCATTCTTTCTTTCTGGGTAGAGTGCCATGGTGCCCTAGCTCATAGCAACTTCAAACTCTTGGGTTTGACCAGTCCTCTTGCTTCAGCTCCCAAGAAGCTGGGACTACAGGCATCTGCCACAATGCCTGGCTAGTTTTTCTATTTGTAGTAGAGACAAGGTCTTGCTCTTGCTCAGGCTGGTCTCCAACACCGGAGCTCAAGCAATCCATCTTGGTCTCCCAGAGTGCTGGGATGACAGGCATGAGCTGCCACACCTAGCCTAAAATATTTTCTATATTCATCATTTGATGGATAATTGGGTCGTTTCTACCTTTTGGCTGTTGTGGATGATGCTTCTGTGAACATACATGGACAAACTTTTGTGTGACACGTTCTCATTTCTTGTGAATGTGTAGGAGAGGAATTACTAGGTTAAGTGGTAATTCTATGTTTAACTTTGGGAAGAAATGCCGAACTGCTTTCCAAAGTGGCTTTACCATCTTATATTCCCACCAGCAATTTATAAAGACTCCAGTTCTCCACATCCTCCCCAACATTTGTTATTTTCTGTCTCTAGACCTACATGTGAAGTGGTATCTCATTGTGGTCTTGATTTGCATTTCCCTGACGGCTAATGATGTTGAGCATATTTTTATTGGGAGACATGTCTATTCAGATCTTTTGTCCCTTTTTTTGATGTATCTTTTTATTATTGAGTATGTGAGTCCTTTATGATTAACAAATATTTTCTCCCATTTTTTGGTTGATTTTTTTTCACTTTCTTGATGGCACCATTGGAAGCATAGAAGTGTTAAATTTTGATTAAGTCCAATTTATCTGATTTTTCTTTTTCTTTTCTTTTCTTTGTTTTTTTGAGATAGAGTCTCACTATGTCACCCTCAATAGAGTCCCATAGCATCACAGCTCACATCAACGTCAGATTCTTGGTCCTAAGCAATTCTCTTGCTTCAGCCTCCCAAATAGCTGGGACTACAGGTGTCTGCCACAATGCCCAGCTATTTTGTGTGTGTGTGTGTGTGTGTGTGTGTGCAGTTTTTGGCTGGGGACGGGTTTGAACCTGCTACTCTGATATATGGGGCCGGTGCCCTACTCCTCTGAGCTACAGGTGCCGCCCGGCCCAGCTATTTTTGTTGTTATTGTTGTGGTTGTCATTGTT